TGACATGTTGATGTCATATTTCAACATGTTCAAAAAGCCACAGATATCGAGTTGATGTCATATTTTGTCGAAATTCAGCTCTACTGAGTTTGGATCAGGGGTTCAGTGATCCTTGCAGCATGGTGTTGCACCCAGCAATTATTTCACAACTTGTGACGCTATTACAGTTGGTTTTCGAGCAAAAAACAGGCACGCATTGATGCACAAATTTGATTACATGTTTTTTTCATCCCCATCCTGTTGGTCAATGTATCCCATTAATTCGCATTATATCTCTTTAAATCCATGGGATTTAGTAGCCTATCCTTTAGAGTTTTTGTTCCCGTTAAGTTTCCCAAAAACCTCATTCGACTCCGAGATTCGTGGAGATTCGTCGAGACTCGAGACTCGAGGCCGAAAGTCCGGGCCACGACTTCGCGCAGTTCCAGGAACTTGCACTGCAGCATTCGGATCAGGAGGTGGCTGAAGAGCTGATTCGGCAGCACCTGCACCATCTGGGCGTGTGGGGATTCCCGGGATTCCTGGGGACGACTTGGGGATGTTTCAGATGATGTCAGCTTCATGGTGATGTGTAAATGTTTCCATGTTTGATGATTTTTTGGTTTCTCTGTTTTTTAGACCAAAGATGGTGATCGCAGGTTCTACAGGGAACACAGCCACATATCATTCCTAGTATCAAAGCCAACTTGTCTCAGTTCACCCTAATTTCTCATGATGTCTTCCCCCGTTGTTCACCTCATTTCATATCAGCAATATAAATATGAATAACGTGTAGAGAGTGTGGGGTTGTCTTGGATGGGTCTTATTATTTTACAGAAATATATATAATAATTAGTCATCCTTTTCTTTTGTTTATGAGTATATATGATTTATCATCATGAACATATTGGACAATAATATGATAGTGGATGCTAACACTAGTAATCATAGTAGTGATACTGTTGTCAATGAACATCATCATCATCATCATCATCATCACCATCGTCATCATCATCACCATCATCACCATCATCATCATCATCATCATACTCATTTGCATCTCCATCATCATCATCATCATCATCATGTTCTTCTTCATTTCCTTCTTCATCATCTTCATCTTCATCTTTATCTTCATCTTCATTTTCATTTTCACCTTCATCTTCATCTTCGTTACCACCATCATCACCATCGTTACCATCGTCATCATCATCATCAGCTTCACCTCCATCATCATCATCATCATCAGCATCATCATCATCTTCTTCACCTTCACCTTCACCTTCACCATCATCATCATCATCATCACCATCACCACCATCATCATCATTATCATCATCATCATCAATATCATCATCATCATCACCACCACCATCATCATCATCATCATCATCATCTTCGTCACCTTTACCTTCGCCGTCACCTTCATCTTCATCTTCATCTTTTTCTTCATCTTTTTCTTCATCATCATCATCACCATCATCATCATCGACATCATCATCATCATCATCCTCTTCTTCAACATCACCTTCACCCTTACTTTCACCTTCGCCTTCACCTTTACCTTCGCCGTCCCCTTCATCTTCATTTTCATCTTTATCTTCATCTTTTTCTTCATCTTTTTCTTCATCTTCATCATCATCATCATCACCATCATAATCATCGACATCATCATCATCATCCTCTTCTTCAGCATCACCTTCACCCTTACCTTCATCTTCACCTCCACCTTCGCCTTCACCTTCACCATTATCATCATCATCAGCATCATCATTATCATCATCATCATCATCATTACCTTCATCATCACCTTCATCATCATCATCACCACCATCATCATCATCATTATTTTCATCATCATCATCATCATCATCATCATCGTCATCATCCGACATGTCAAAATTCCCTCGTCAGATGGATCCAGGCAAGACGATGTCCTGGAAGAGTTCTGGACGAAAGTCGCGCCGTGGCTGGGCTCTCAGTGAACGGCCAGGGGACCTGGAGATATCTGGAGATATCTGGAGGATGTAAACAATGGCCACGGAATGCCACAGATATGAAGCACAGATTGGATTGAACAGATCTGATCTTATTCTCCGAATACGGAGTAGAATCAGTAGAATCAGTAGAATAGTAGAATGCCGAAAGATGACTATTCACTGCTAGAAGGCCCAAAGGATGACACAACACCCAACCATACGCCCAGGGTAGGTGCCAATCGGCGATCGGGCCGTGGCCCCGGATTTTCCATTGAGAAACCATAAGAAAAACCAATGGAAAGGTGGGGCTTATCTAAGCACCATGAATTTCCAAGTCATATTGGGATATATTGGGATTATATGAAAATTGATGGCTGTGTAATACGTATTTTAATTAAAAACATCTAAAAAACACACCCTCATTTTCATTACCGTCTCACACGCTTCAACGGAATTTTTAGGTGAGAGCAGCCCAGATTCGCTGCTAATGGAGGTGGTGAGGCAATGGAAACAGGTGGAGACCTCAGTGTTGTCAACGATGGATGGAATTTACCCCATTTATGGATGTTTATGGATATTTATGGCAAGAAAATGTGGGGAAAACTTGTTTTAACAGCATTTGTTTGCATGGTTAGAACATATGGTTTGAAGATATGGTTTGAAACTGGTCAGCAGGGCTGTGGGTCGACATTCACTCAACAACACCGAAAAATCAGGCGCGGAAGCTTGAGCATGCCGCCGACACTTGGATGCAGTTGTGTTTGGTTGACTTACTTGGTCGTTTATTGCCATTTATTGTTTCTGATCCTTTTAAAATCCCTCCCAAACATGAACATGGTAGTCCACCCGGCTTAGAATTCCATCACAGATATTGCATTTTTTTGCCGAGAATTTAGACCATACACGTTCCTTCTGAAAATCAACACATTTGGGGCCGTTTCAAAGGGGAAATTCATACTACTGGGAAAGGATTGTTTCAATTGCCTAAGCTGAAGAGTTTAGCCAAAAAAGGAGTCATGGTCCGCTTTGTCCACAGAAACACTCCATATTCTTCACGTTTTTGATGGGACAAATGTTGATGTCACGCAAGGCATCTTCTGCGAACGGTGATTGGTCTTCTCTGGCCAAGATGAGGCAGTTGATGATGGGTCGCTGAGAGGGGTTTACTAACTTTGATCACGATGAATCTGGGGGTGCAATGATATCCAGTGAATTGATGGTGATTGTTTTTTGATTGTTTTTTTTAACTATCTCAGATCCGCTGGATGGTTTCAACTTCAACAAATTGCTGAGTTGCCATCAGTTGCCATCCTCAGAATCCCGCTGAAGCTAACAACTTTTGATCCAACAATGTTTCGATGGTGGACACCAGGTTACGAGCCCGACAGTTCACCGGGGTGCCTGCGGACGGTCAGTGGGATGCAACGCGGGTCGGAAGTCTCAGATTCCCCATTTTGGGAGGTGAATACCCAGCTGATAAATAGTTCAATGAATAATTCAATGAATAATTCAATGAATATAGTATAGTTATGTATAGTTATAGTATGATATAGTATAGTCCAGTATGTATATGAATATATACCAGTAGTACCGCACAAGGCGGTGGCGGAAGTTTCAAAAATAGGAGACCTATAGGAGAGGTTGGTGGTTGTGAATCAGGGATGGCAAAGCGAAGCCACTGATGGACCGAAAGGTGCTTGAGGTCTCCTCTCTTTCTCTCTCTTTCTCTGACTATCTATCTATGTATCTATGTATCTATGTATCTATGTATCTATGTATCTATGTATCTATCTACCGATCTATTTATCTATCGATCTGTCTATCTATCTATGTAACTTTCTATCTATCTATCTACCTATCTATCTGTCTATCTATTTATCTATCTATCTATCTGTCGATCTATCTATCTATCTATCTCTCTCTCTCTATCATCTAATTACCTATCTATCTATCTATCTACCTATCTATCTATCTATTGATCTATCTATCTATCTATCTCTCTCTCTCTCTCTTTCTTTCATCTGTCTATCTATCTATGTATCTATCTGTCTGTCTGTCTATCTATCTATCTAACTATCTTTCTACCTATCTATCTATCTATCTATCTGTCTATCTCTCTATCTATCTCTCTATGTATCTATCTATGTATCTATCTATCTATCTATCTATCTATCTCTCTCTCTATCTATCTCTCTATCTATCTATCTGTCTGTCTGTCTGTCTGTCTATCGATCTGTCTGTCTTTCTGTCTATCTGTCTAGCCATCAATCTATCTATCTCATCTACCCAGCTGGCCTCTCTCTCTCTCTCTCTTTCATCTAATTACCTATCTATCTATCTATCTACCTGTCTATCTCTCTCTCCCTTTCATCTGTCTATCTGTCTAGCTGTCTACCTGTCTATCTGTGATGCAGTGTCATTCAGTGGCATGTAGTGTGGTGTAGTGTAATGTAGTGTAGTGGAGTGTACTGGAGTGTACTGTACTGTACTGTAGTGTGACTTCGAAGTATGCTCCGCGCATCTGAACTTCCAAAAATGGTCCGAACTTCTAGTGTTTTGGACATTTTGACTTCGAAATGTGCTTCGCGCCACAACGGCGTGCACTTTTTCGACATCTGAACTTCCAAAAGTGGCGCGAACATGTGGTGTTTTGTACATTTTGACTTGGAAATGTGCTTCGCGCCACAACGGCGTGCACTTTTTCGACATCGCAACTTCCAAAAGTGGTCCGACACTGAGGTGTTTTGTACATTTTGGCTTGGAAATGTGCTTCGCGCCACAATGGCGTGCACTTTTTTGACTTCTCAACTTCCAAAAGTGGTCCGACGCTGAGGTGTTTTGTGCATTTTGACTTGGAAATGTGCTTCGCGCCACAACGGCGTGCACTTTTTTGACATCTCAACTTCCAAAAGTGGTCCGGAGCTGAGGTGTTTTGTACATTTTGACTTGGAAATGTGCTTCGCGCCACAACGGCGTGCAATTTTTCATCTCTCATCTGGCCAGCTGGCTCCGCACCCGCCGCTTTAGCGAGCCTACTTTTCGACCCTCCGGAGCCACAAATCATGGGAAAAACACAGTGTTTCGCGACTTTCCTACCTTTTCGCGCATCTGCATCTTCTTTCTTCTGACTCTTTCTCTTCTACTCTTCTCTCTTCTAATCTTTCTCTTCTCTCTGCCTCTGCCGTACTCTTCTTTTCATCTGTCCATATTGTCGGAAGTTTGACTTCTAAACTTCCTTCGATGAATATATATGAATGTTCATCCCCTCTAAATATATAGATACTATAGTATGATAGGTTGTGATGCCATATTTTGATCCAAAGAGAAACGCCACGTGTAAGCGACGTTTCTGCAGTCCCAGGAGATGCTTCAAAGGGAGGCAGAGCAGATCGATGAGGCGAAAACCCCCGGGAATCGTGGGGAATTTCAGATGCGATTTCCTGTAAACCCAGTAAACATTTGACAAAGATGGAAACCTCACCATCTAGTGCGATGTCCATTGATGAAACATAGGTGCATTGTGAATCTTATGAAGCAAAGTGAAGCTACTAGAAACGGAGATCCGAAGCTATCACCAAGAAAATGCTGAACTGCTAGCTTTGGCAGGAGGTGTCTGAGCCTCCGCAGGACTGGGTTTTGAAAATGACCACATTTTGGCCATATTTGAGCTGTTCAGTTCATGTTCACATTTCTTCGATTTCTTCCCAGGAATCGTTTTGGGCCCTTCTGACTGGTCGCCAGACCACTGGAAATCGACGACGCGGTTTGGGTCCCGTCCCGTGTGCATTGCCCCAGTTTGATCGTCGTCACATGCAGCTGAGATTTCGACGAAGAGATGGCTGCCTTGAAGGTCAACGGTTTTGAACTCAGGGGTCTCAGGGGTCTCAGACTCTGACAGACTCTGAGGTCAGACACCGCTATCCACAGCTATCCACAATAAACACTAATATAAACAAGACATACAAGCCAGATCAAGCCAGACTTTTGATGACTCATGCAACATCATGCATATTACCTAATATTACATATACGATCATATACGTAGATCATATAAAGATCATCTAAGCATCTTCCAGACCATGGAACATGTGGACACAACATTTGCACGAGGCTGCGCAAGTCCATGCTGTTTTTTAGGCGCGTGTTTGGTGTTCTGGATGCCAGCTGATCCTCTCTTCAAAGTGAATTTTCCGCTCCAAGATTCCAAGATGCGTTGGAAACCAATTCTTACGCTTTGACTAGTCTTATCCATCAACTGTAATTATTATCAAATTTGACTGGAAATAATTGTTGATGGATACCAATAATTGTTGGAATCCCAATTTGTTATCCATCAACGATTATTTCCAGTGGGTATCGGGTTGGCGGGAGGCTCAGGTGGCTCGCCGGCCGTCAACAAAGGCACCGGGAGTTACTGGAGGAATGGAATTTCAATGGCTTCCATGGGGATACAAATAGCAAATGGGGGTTTCCACAAATGGGGGGGGATCCCCAAAAATGGTTGGTTTATAGTGGAAAAGCATATTAAAGTGGGTGATTTAGGGGTTTCCCTTTATTTTAGGAAACCTCCAAATAGAAGTAAACATGTTATTGTTATTACTGGATAGTTGAAGCGTAAGTTTTCGTTTCAATTTTTTGAAGATTTTTGAACAGTGTCTTTCCCCTGGGATGATCTCAAGTGACTGATTTGCTGAATCCGATGGCCTGATGGCCTGGGTTTAGCTGGGATGCAGTACCCATGTTGTTTCTTAATGTTTCTTATAGTTCCATATTCTTCACCTTCAGTTACTGCAGTTGTTGTCGCCAGTCGCGTGGGAGGTAAGGAACAAGATGCCCGGCCACCAGATTCTGGATGGTCTGGATGGTGGTTGCTCAGCTGCCATTGGCTTCTTTTCTTTCACCAATGATGCTCAGCCATGGGGTCAAAAGTCCAAAAGTGCTGTTGACAACAGCGCGACGTGCTGCTGAAGGTTGAATGGCCTTAAGAGAAACTCTTTCTGCCGTCAAATTGGAGCGGGCCCCAAAAGATGTTAGGCTGTTCTTGCTGAGAGCAGAGCAGCCTTTCGACAGGTTTGCCGAGGTTTCACATTCATAGGCTTTTCATTTTTTCCTATTGCTGGTAGTTCTTCGAAGATTGGTCAGAAATGTCAAACACATGTCAAACAAATGTATATAAATGTCAATGTGAAATCGCCAAGCAATCCGATTCAGCATCGTTGAAAAACAAGGTTTTCAGCATCGGTTTTTCTCCGTGCTCCAAAGTTCTTAGGCTCGTTGCTTAGACGCCTGGCGAGCTTCTGCGGCGAAGGACCGGCTTGGCACGGCTGTAGCAACGTTTGGGCTTCACCAAGAATTGTTGAGCAATAGCAACTACTACAAACCTGTAATAACCTGTAAAAACCAGAATTTCTAATAAGCCAACTATTGTTTTTGTCTATTGGGAATATTGATTAATTATTGTTTATTGGGCAATATTAATAACCAACATTACTAAACCCAATAGACAACCACCAATATCGCCAGATTATTTCTTTAGTTGTTAATGTATTTCTTTAGTTGTTAACAATATTATGGGCAACAAGCACCAATAAACCCAAAAATTAACTAAAACCATATCCCCAGTTTACCCAGCACCATTTGGGGGCATTCAATACTATCCCACCCAAAGTGGGCAAATTACGGGCTAATCGCATTACAACTGTTAAACAACTGAATATTTTGCTTCTTCCCCCGATACTAAGCACTCCCCAAACGAAACCCTCATGGAATGTGTTGGATCAAATTTTGTTAAAGCCCATTTCAGAGATTACTGCTAGTTAAATCATATTTAACTATGTTAAATCAGCATAAATCAGCATCAATCAGCATAAATCAGCTAGATCCTCATGTTTCCAAACGGGTTTTTGTTGGCACCAGTTTGGCGGGATCCAATCCTCAGGCGATCAAGGCGTGCAAAGCCAGGTCTGGCGCTCTGGACGAACTGCAAAATGGTCAAAATGGTCAAGGCATGTCAAAACTCAATGGTTTCTGTTGGTATAAGTTTATTATATGTTAATTATGTTGCTATATCATCCTATTAAATCCTATTAATATATATATATATATCCAACATCATAAATCATATATTATATATATAATTGATATCCAATCATAAGTAATATATGTTTAATAGAAATTTTCTGGATCATCTTCTTGGAGATCCCCCCTGTTTGGGACTCGCGTTTTTCAGGCCCAAAAACGACGACGGGATGAACATTGGCGAGGTGGATGACCAGGATGACCAGTGGGAGAGGCAAAAAATGCTATAGATACCTATTATGGATATCTATAAATGGTCTATAAATGGTCTACAAATGGTCTATTAAATTGTCTATAAATATCAATAATTGGCAATAATTCAATATCAATATCATATAATATCTATAATGAGTCTTTGTAAACATCTATACGTATCTATAAGTCCTTCGCCGTTTCGACTGGGGACAAATATGAACATCATTTATAAATCAGTAAGAGTCTCAGGGTCAAAACCTGTGATATTCTCATATGCATAGGGCACTGAGCATCCATATCATCCATAAGAACCAACCATTTAGATGAACTTCAAGGGATTCCATGTTTCGGCTTTCAAGCATGGTTTCAGTGCCCTGCAGTGATTGTCCCACACCAACATGCTTAGGAATCGTTGAACCAGGGCTCCACAATAGTATCAAATTCAAAGCCAAATACTTTGTCCATTGAAAGTCCAGTTTGGCTGTTTTTGTTGGTGGCTTTCTTGAATTTGAACCCCTTTCCCCATCCTGGGCTGTTGATCATTACGACCCCATTTCGTAGATTTCATGGAAGCCACCCAGACCCATCCCCCATTTTCTGGTCAGCACGTCGCAGCACGTTGCAGGTGTTATCTCTCCAACGAGGGAGGGTGGGCCCTAAACCCAGGATGCCCAGATGATCCAGGTGAACCCGAAAGATGGACCTTCCATCAGCACATCAAATCGAATTTCACAGCGGTTAAATGCAGATCAAACCATCACTAGAAATATAATACGTTCTTATATATCAGAACACACATATATATATATATACAATAAGTAAATAGATAGATAGATAGATAGATAAATAGATAAATGAATAAATATGTATAAATATGTAGTATACCCAAACATATTATATATACATCACTATATGACAGGTTTCATGGCAGTTTTTTTGATGCAAAGACTTCGAGGCTGCGAAAGACCACCTCCCTGCCTTCCTTCGGGATCTTGAGGGGCGAGGCCTCGAAAATGAGATCCGGGATGGGGATGTGGATACATATCCCATAGACACTATCCACATGAGTCCCATATATACAGATATATAGATGTAGAATGATGTAGAATGATGTAGATATATATACATAGCGCATTGCATGTATGTGTGCATATATATATATATACAATATATGTATGTATGTATACATACGTTGTATATATATATATACACATCTAAATGTATTCGAACTAACGACATGAAGTGGTTGTTAAAAATTGGGGACCACCAAACCATGCTTAGAAGTACTCCATTCCCACCCACATGTCTTATGTATTGATTTATTGTTTATTTGGAATTTAAGCATCTTTTGGGCATTTTACCGCCAACCATGGAATTTTGACATGGCTTTCAAGCAAAAAAAACGAGGGGTTCAACCAAAACACCTGCTAGCAGAAAATATCACCGTTTTTTTTAAATGGGTCAACAGTCAGTTGAAAGTGTTGTGATATTGAGGTGGAAGTGGTTCCGACCGAATAAGGGTAACTGTCTCCCCATGATGAAAACAAGTTCCTGTGGCACTGTAGCTGACCCAACTTCACATTGACATATATTGACATGCTCAGATCTATTGAATTCTATTGGAGATGGTTCTGCAGTGACGCAGCCAAGCTGCCACACCGCTGGCCCGGTTCTGAGACAAGTTCTCCAAGCTCAACGAGCTCCAGATCGCATCGGCACCTTATTGGATCAGAGGCGCCGAACAATCAATCGCTCAATTGGGGTCGAGTTTTGACCAGAGAAAGTAGATGGCTGTCTTAAAATTGAACAATGTATGGGTCAATATTGAACACCCATACAAAAGTATTCCAATGCAAAAGTCTTCAAATCTCATCTCCCCATGTTTTCCCCATGATTTCATGGCCATTTCTATCGGCGCGGAGTTACATCTCCAGGAGTTGGATGGAGCCGCCATCCTCCGTGGTAGAGACATTCAGCTCATAGGTGACATGGCTGTGACGATGTCGTTTTTTTTTTGTGTGTAGATGTATATATTTATGTGTATATTTGTGTATATCATATCATATATATATATTGTCCATGTTCTCTGTATTAGTGCTTATATGTGCTTATATATATATACATACATACATATGTATGTATATTATCTATACTGTGTGTATCAGCTATATTAGCTGTATTGGTTACATTATCTATATTATCTACATTATCCATATCATGATCTATATTATCTGTATTATCTGACTAATTGCATTTATCTATACTATGTATATTATGCGTATATCATCACACTAGACATATACATATACATAATATTATTCTATGTCATTCCATGTGTATACATGTCTCAGTATATATGCACCGACATATCTATACCTATATCTATAGCTATATCCATGCCTCTATCCTTACATGCAGGGTTCATACACATCGTGTATATATATATATATATATACACGTATCACGGCATATGTGATATGTATATATTTATATGTATATATTGTGATTCTACATCATTGCGAGGTCATGGAAGAAACCACCCATAAAGGATGTTTACCAAAAGCCCGGGGTTTACACAGCACTTGTTTTCCAAAGCACACGTGGCTCCGGAGGGCCCAGGGTTGAAGGTGGGTGGGATATTCATCCGTGCTGAGCCATAAGCTTGGAAGCGAGGCCGCTTCACTGTTCTTTGGCCAGGGGCCATTCTAAGCTGGGTGGATTACCCATTTCACTGGAGGTCCAAGGACCATAGCCGTTGCTGGGAAGAGACTGCCTGTCTCTATTCGTGCTGCTCAGGACTTGTGTGCCGTGAAGGGAAAAAGGCCGCGAGTCACTTTTGCCTTTTGAGGTGGATCCGGAGATTGCAGCTGCCAGTGTGAGGTTCCAACCACTCACACTGGTAGCGGAGCTCAGCTCTGCTCCCCTAGCTGAGTATCCAGGGAGGTGGATTTGGAGGTGGAGAGATGCCTGAAGCATCTGACGGTGCTGAAGGAACCTCCAGCACTCTTGTGCCCAATCAACTTGCAAGCCTGGTACCTACATTTGACCCATCCAAAGATGACCTCACCGACTATACGAAGAAGGTGCAGCTGCTTATGAATATGTGGCCGGAGGGCAAATGGACAGAACTGGCAACTCGCTTGATCTTAGGCTGTACAGGATCTGCGTTTCAGAAACTACAGTTGAAAAGTGCTGAGATTACCGTGAATGAAAAGAAGTCGATACAACAGATCATTGAACTGTTGGGTGGCCAATGGGGCCAAATACCTCTGGAGAAAAAGTATGAATCAGCAGAACGAGCGTTGTTTCGATGCGTCCAGCGACAAGATGAGACAAATGATAGCTTTCTGGCACGAGCTGACGTGCTGTGGCAAGAGCTTCTGAACAAGGACATCAAGCTGGAAGAACTGCAGGCATACATAACTCTCCGGGGTTCCAATCTCAGTGCCGAGGACAAAAAACGAGTAGTGATTGACAGCCAGGTGAGCACTGATGGCAAGCTGACCTTACAAAGGGTATCAGCAGCAATTCGCATGCTTGGTGCAGGGTTTTTTCATGAGATTACCTCTGGAAAGAAATTTGGAAAACTGAAGACATATGACGCTAGCACCATGGTTGCTGATCAAATGGAGGATGAAGATGAAGCCTCACAGGCTTTGCTTGCCGAAGCTCCCGAGGAGATCAATGAAGACGAGATGATTGATGCTCTGGTGTTGGAAGGCGATGCTGACGCCATCCTGATCGCCGACTTCGAGACGGCGGCATCCGACGTGCTTCAAGGAGATGAAGAGTTGGCAAGTGCGCTGAATGCGTACACTGAGGCGCGCAGGCGCTTGAGTGAGAAAGTGAAATCGCGTGGTTTCTGGCCCCTGTCACAAAGCTCCAAGGGTAAGTCCAAAGGGTTTAACCGTGGGGTAAAGGGTAAGTTCAGTAAGGGACATAACTCAAGCCGCAAAACACTGCAGCAGAGGATCCTCAGTTCCACATGCAGGATCTGTGGAAAAATGGGCCATTGGAAGGCCGAATGTCCTAGCAGGAACGATGCCACAGGAGCCTCCAGACCTCAAGCTCCTACGTCCTTTGTCCAAGTGCAGAGCGAGGCGCAAGGTCTGCCACTAGAGTTTCTCAACCTGCCAGCCTTTGAAGAAGCCGTAGATGCACCTCTAGCATCAGTTAGCCAATGTTTTGTTTGCCATTCCGAAAGGGTTGATAAAATGGAATCCAAGGATAGGCTCCAGAGATCAATTCAAAGATGGTTGACATCGAAAACCACTGCAGCCGTGCCCAGGCCCCATGATGTGCAAAACAGCTCGACGTCCTGGTCGACAGCCAAGCCAGAGCCTGTGGCAGCCAATCCATGCACCAGACCTGACCAAGGTTCCTTGACGGAACACGCAGCAATGTTTGCAACGTACAGCAGCATGGGGGTAGTTGACCTAGGAGCAACCAAGACAGTCATTGGTAGCAATTTGGTCAAAGGTCTTTTAGACAGTTTATCCCCTGAAGCCCGAAAAGCTGTCCGAAGGTGTCCATGTGCCATTACCTTTAGGTTTGGGAATCAGGGTACACTACAAAGTGAACAAGCCTTGGTAATACCTATTCATGGGTTATGGTTAAAGGTTGCAGTAGTGCCTGGGTCAACCCCTTTCCTTTTGTCAAACACCCTATTGCGAGCTATTGGTGCTGTCATCGACACGAGCCAAAAGCCCATTTTTGCATCCAAGATCAACAAGGTGATTCCAATCCAGCTCACAGATAGAGGGTTGTTTCTTTTGGATTTGAATGATCTCGTGGATACGACCGTGTCCAAGCATGCCGCTGAGATTCATCAGGTGTCCGAAGAGACCAAAACAGCGTGTGCAAAGCCGTGTACAGAATCCGAAGCAGCCGAGCCAGGCACACATGTCCCATGTCATCACCAACATGCCACGTCACATGACATGCCCATCACAACCGACACACCCAGGGAGAAATCTACATCGACTTCAATAACACCGACAGTTTCCAAAACTTTCCCAAACATCCTGGATGAATTTTTGCAATCAGCCGAAACATGTCCTGAATATACAGACCCGATAGACCCTCGCAGCTCAAAACACGTGTCGTTTGCCAAGAGTTTTCGATTTCCCAAAGTTCGCCGTGATGTCTTCCCTGAGCCAGCGCCTGAAGGAACTCCAAGTGCCAGGCGAAACCGCCAAGTTCGATTTCAGTCACCTGAGCTTCTCACAGTTAGAGGAGACCAAGGTGGATTTCGGACAGGCCCATGTGGGTCGCACTTACCGCGAGATGTGGTTGAACCATCAGGAGTGGCTTCTCTGGTTTGCCGGGAGGTACGAGAAATCAGGGAAGGAGAGTCATCAGAAGATCCTCCACTATGTTCAACTGATGGTGGAACGGGCCGAGGTGTCAGGCACTCGCATTCCTGTCCACAAAGGGGTGCCATCGAGTGGGAAGATCGAGAAGCCGAAAGCCAAGGCGTGGCCCAAGAAACTGGCTCAACCACCGAACGAAACAATCTCAGTGTGGGATGCCACCGAGATGGAGGAGTTCGAGATGTACGGCGACGAGATCGAAGCTGGCATGAGTGTAGTAGCAGCCACCGAGGGTCCCAGTCCAAATGTGGCTCAATTGGAAGCCCGAATGTTGTCCATGGAGAATGCCCTGTCTCAGATTCTCCTTGCACTGGAAAACATCCAGCCGGCAACCGAGCCCCAGTAGATCAATGCCCCAGCTGGACTCTGTCCATCCAGGCTGGTGATTATGAGATGAATGAGGAACATATTCATCATGTTACTCCCGAAACCAACCGTGAACGGAAGATGTTTAACAAGTTGATATCACAAATATCTCACGAGTTGGAACAAGTTATTCTTGAAGATAATCCCGGGGGAACCAAGATCGATGTTTTGGAAGTTTTCTGCGGACCATCAAGCCAGCTGACACACCAGTGTCAACAGATGAGACACCGAGCCATGCGTTTTGGGCTTGCCGAAGGAGATCTGCAGACCTCAGAAGGTCGCCAGCGCCTGTTCAAGGTATTAACAAAACATAAGCCCAAACATGTCTGGTATTCCCCAAAATGTGGTCCGTGGAGCAGTTGGTCTAATCTGAATGGAAGTAAGTCTCTTGAAGCATGGGATGCCCTCCAAAATAACCGACTTCAACACATCGATCAAATAGCGTTGGGTATTGTCCTCATGAGATATCAAAGGAGTCACAAAAACCACTTCCACTGGGAACAGCCACAGAACTCTCACATGTTCAAACTCCCGTACATGCAAGAGATTCGACAAATGTTGCTAGCGCTGGAAGTTGACCTATGCATGGCAGGTGACTTGCGAGACCCTGACACCCAGAACCACATGCGAAAGGCGTTAACCATCATGACATCATGCCAAAGTTTGTGTCAAGAGCTTGAAGGCCTGAAATGCCGTGGTTCACATCCACATCAGCAGATCGCAGGGTCGTGCAAGGTAGGTGGCAAGACGGTGCTCAGAACATCATTTTCTGAAAACTATCCCAGAAAGTTTGCTCGCAAGCTGGCCAAGAGTTTGTGTCGCATTCGAAAGCCCCGTGAATTGCCTCACCTACTGTAGCAAGAGGAATGTCTCTGGGCATGGACTCTAGCCAATGAATCCGACCATGGCGAACGAGCTCCAAAGCGCCAGAGACTGGCCATACAGGCAAGACTGAAGGTCAGCCGTGCACGGGATGTAGATCAACTACCATGGGGTAAACGCATAAAATGTTCCACCAAAACTACACCAATTAACGTCAATCAACAATGGCAGAACATTTTCCTGGAATTCCAACGAACAGCACCCCGAGTGGGAAAGATGGAAGTCACAGACCCTCAAATCATATCTCAAGTTCAAGGCCTCATGGAAGACAAAGAGATTCGCAGAATCATCGTATGCCGAGGAACCAATCGGACTATTGCACCACCACAGGATCTCATGAAAGGTGAAGCCCCCTATCGAAGATGTGTGTTCATAGAACGTGACACTGGTAAGCATAAGGCCGATGAATCATGGGAATCTTGGGAAAGCCTTTCCAAAAGACAGCTTATTCGAGCCTCCCATCCGTGCAAATTGAATATGACAGTCTTCGCTTGCAATCCAACTGTTCCCGAGGCCAGTGAATCTCGGATAGATCCCACTGACCCCACTGCACCCAATTCAGTGATTGCCCCGCCGGCCGAAAGGCCCAGTGCATCGGAGGCGAAGGACTCCGAATCCGTACCGGCCACAAGTTCCAATCCAACCGGAGACATGACTGAATCCCAGCAGGCGGATTTGAAGATGGTTAATCAGTCAGCACATTTCAAGAGCCTCACCAAGGAAGAACAACAAGCCTTGATCAGAGCGCACAAGAACTTAGGCCACCCTCATGTCGAAAAATTCAGCAGTATCCTCCGTCAGCAGGGATTCCGACCTGAAGTAGCGCGTGCAGCTTTGGAGCTGAAATGCTCAGTATGCCAAGCACAGCAATCGCCAAAGCCGGGTGCACCTGGAAACCTGAGGGATGAACTGGATTTTAATGACAGGATTCATGTGGATGGCTTCACTTGGACCAATGCTCAAGGAAAAGGGTTTCATGTTTATCATTTTGTGGACAGTGCCACCAGCTTTCAGGTTGCCAGCATAGCCCCATCACGTGCGGCCGATGCTTTCCTTGAATGCTTTTTACAGTCTTGGTTGATGTGGGCCGGTACACCTCATGAGATGGTCATAGATGCCGGCACAGAACTCAATTCTGAAGAAGTCACCAACTTTGCACAGGCACACAATATCCACATGACGACCATCAGCACAGAAGCTCATTTCCAAAATGGCAAGGCCGAAAGACACGGATCCATACTGCAATCCATGTTGACCAAGTACGAGTCAGAACATGCAGTACACACATATCATGACCTCAAACAAGGGCTTTGGTGGTGTGTTCAGGCCAAAAAAGCCTATAGCATCCGAAAGGGTTTTTCGCCAGAAATCCTTGTGTTAGGTAAGCAGACAAGGCTGCCAGGTTCCAACTGCAGTGACGAACTTTTGCCTGCCCACATGCTTGCCGATTCAGAGTCGGCCCAAGGCGTACAGTTCCGATTGCAATTGGCCCGGCGTGAGAGTGCTCGAAAGGCATTTGTCCAGACTGATCATGATGCAGCACTACGACGATCAGTACTCCGTAAGTCTAAAGGGGAACCCCGGAAGTACTTAACGGGAGAATGGGTAATGGTTTGGAGACAAGGGAAAGGAGCCTATCCCGACCAATGGACAGGTCCCATGAAAGTAGTAGTGCATGAAAACTCACAAACAGTATGGACGACGATGGCAGCCAAGCTCTATCGTGCCGCACCAGAGCATGTTCGACCCGTTTCCGCAATGGAGGCCAAAGGGATTGTGATGCTTCCCAATGCACCATCGGTGTCACAGATTGCTCAACAGCTTGCCCCTCAACTTCAGAATGCCATGCAAAATAACCCCATCAATAGTCCTACACCTGATGTAACCTTACCACCACCTCATAACCCTGTACCTGATCAACAAGAAAATAACCCTCTTCCACCGACCATTCAAGACTCTGAAAGCCATTCTGAAATCCAACCGGATGCAGAGCCGGGAGCGACAGGAAGCAGTCAATCACCAATAGGGAGTCAGACAAACACGACTCCTGCTCCAGACGAGGCGGAAACCACACACCCGAATGTTCTGAATCCAGAACAAGACATGATGCGAGAGCATGTTGCACAAAACACACCAATACCACAAAGTTTGGACGATGATGATTTGGTGTGTGAAGGTCTACACTGCGAGGACATGGAGCCAGAGTCCGTTCAACCCGAAGCCAATCAGGCATGGCAATGCGAAATCTATGTGACCGAGAGTGATGTTGAAAGTTGGAAACGGGAAGATAAGCCCCAAGAATGTAGTTTTCTAGCCACTGCCGCAAAAAGACAAAGAGCAGAAGTCAAACTCACGACACTGGGACCCAAAGAACGGGCAGAATTTCAAAGAGCCAAGGAAAATGAAATTCAAAACTGGTTGAAAACTGGCACCATATCCCGAATCATGAGGGACCAAGTTCCACCGGACCAGATCCTTAGATGCCGTTGGATTTTGACATGGAAACCAATTGATGATCAAGAAAAAGAGCAACTTCAGGGAACCAAAAACCATAAGGCAAAAGCCCGACTGGTAATTTTGGGATATCTAGATCCAAAAATAGCAGAAGTTCCCCGTGATTCCCCCACACTGGGTAGGCATTCAAAAATGTTACTACTCCAAGCGATAGCATCCAATGGATGGAATCTTCAATCATTTGATATAAAAGCTGCGTTTTTACAGGGCAAAAAACAGAAGGATCGGGTACTTGCCATTGAACCCGTAGCGGAAATCATTCAAATGATGAAACTCTCATCCCAAGAGATATGCAAATTGGAAAAAGGGGCATACGGGTTAGTGGATGCACCATACATGTGGTTCCAAGCCATCCTTGAAGAACTTATCAATTTGGGTTTTGAACAGTCACCATTCGACCCCTGTTTGTTTACTCTGAGAAATCCACAAAATCTACAGCTTGACGGAATTCTTGGACTTCATGTCGATGACGGTCTATGTGCAGGAAACTCTCATTTTCATGAAAAACTGAGGTTACTGGAAAAGAAGTATCCTTTTGGGACAAAAAGGGTAGGTCAATTCACTTTCACCGGTATTGAAATGCAACAGACCCCTGAAGGAACGATTCACTTGTCACAATCCAAATACATTCGAGCAATTGAACCCATCAAAATTTCACAAGAACGCAGAAAACAGAGTGAATCACCTGTCACTGAAGAAGAAAGGCAACAATTGAGAGCTCTCATTGGAAGCCTACAATACGCATCCGTCCACACCAGACCAGATTTATCCAGCAGATTAAGCATCCTTCAATCAGCCATTAACCGAGCAACAATCGAAACCCTCATCACAGCAAATCAAGCTCTCCACGAAGCCAAGAAACATCATGATGTGACCATCAAGATTCAACCAATTGCCACCGCAGATCTCAGATTCCTTGCCTTTTCGGACGCCTCGTTTGCATCAAAGAGTAACCCCAATTCCCATACTGGTTCCATAGTAATGGCTACCCATAAAGATATCGGTAACAATACCAAGTGTCCTGTCAATCCGATTTCATGGGGCTGTAAGAAAATACAGCGTGTTGTAACCAGTACTCTTGCAGCCGAAACCACGTCGCTGAATACAGTATTAGACCAACTCTCCTGGATAAGACTGTGTTGGGCATGGATCTTAGACCCAAAAGTACCATGGAAAAATCCCAAACTTGCATTCCAAAATCTCCCCGAAACATACTCCACTGCCACCATGAAAGCCCAAGAATTGCCAGAAAGTTTTGCCGCCACAGACTGCAAGTCTCTGTATGACCTCGTCACCCGCACTGCCGTGCCTAGTTGTACAGAGTTTCGGACGCAATTGACCGCGCGATCAATCAAGGACTTATTATCTGAGGGAGTAGCACTGAGATGGGTACACAGCGGGGCCCAGCTAGCAGATGCTCTCACCAAAATAATGGAAAATACCTTCCTAAGGGAGACCCTCAGATTAGGCCATTATAAACTTCATGATGAACTGGAGGTCCTGAAAAACCGCGCATCATCCCGAAACCGTCTTCGATGGCTGAAAGGTGAATCCACCAATCAGCATGGCTCAGGCTGCAATGATGTTTGCTTTCTCGAAGATTTTAGTTTTTTGGGAGTGTGATTCTACATCATTGCGAGGTCATGGAAGAAACCACCCATAAAGGATGTTTACCAAAAGCCCGGGGTTTACACAGCACTTGTTTTCCAAAGCACACGTGGCTCCGGAGGGCCCAGGGTTGAAGGTGGGTGGGATATTCATCCGTGCTGAGCCATAAGCTTGGAAGCGAGGCCGCTTCACTGTTCTTTGGCCAGGGGCCATTCTAAGCTGGGTGGATTACCCATTTCACTGGAGGTCCAAGGACCATAGCCGTTGCTGGGAAGAGACTGCCTGTCTCTATTCGTGCTGCTCAGGACTTGTGTGCCGTGAAGGGAAAAAGGCCGCGAGTCACTTTTGCCTTTGGAGGTGGATCCGGAGATTGCAGCTGCCAGTGTGAGGTTCCAACCACTCACAATATATATGTATATGTATATGTATATGTATAGGTATATGTATAGGTATAGGTCGGTATAGGTATACTTGTCATCTGAACACATTTTGAGTTCATCGGGGGCCCAACCCGAGGCTTGGCAGATCACTTGGCGAAGGAAGAAAAAACCCAGCGGCCGCGGAATGAACTATGGGTAAATATCATGCCATTGATATGGCATTGATATTTGATACTATCTATTCTACTTATATATATATAGATAGATAGACATATTCATATTTTACTTCACCCAATTATTCATCTTTTACTTCAGAATTTGATTAGCAAATATGTCAGAGTTAGTTTCAGTTGTTGTTAGCCACCGCGAACTATTACCATCATGAAAATGGCATGTAAGCCAATAGCACTCCGAATGCATTACAACATAGGCGCGCAAACTAGAGGCCAAACCCGCAGCCCACGGTACCCATGAATCATAAACATCAATTTTACTCACAGCATTAGACATCCAATTGTTAGTTCATCGGCGGAAACTGGCTGCCTGCAACGCGAACCGCAGTTGGACTTCTGCGTTACCAAACCGATGTCCCTTCCCGAGTTGTTGGAGGACTGGGTTACTGGAGGGTTTCGAGAACACATAGCATGATATGATACAACGGGTGATACTGTACCGAAATAAAGGGAGCATGTAACCAACAACAAGCGGGATTTTTCATGAACAACCACAATGATAATGACAAAATGTGCAAGAATTGGGCACGATAGAGCAACCACCGATTGACACCACTTTTACTTTGTTTCAGTCACATCATCCCATTGAACAAACTGGAAACAGCAACCTATCCCTATTTTTGGCTTGTAGAATTCACATTTTGGCTGATTCTGACTGACTTCTCTTGGCTTTTTCCACCATGTCTTTTTTTCAGCGATCCTTGCGGCGCCAGGAACATGCACGGGACGTGCAAGGCAGCATTCAGCAGCGATCCTATCGCTTGCCTCCTGTACCCTTAGCAAAATAAACCATCCAGATGTACCAAAACTCATGGTAAAGTTATGTATATATATATAATATACAATGCAATTATATCTCATTGATGCTAGCCATACATGGCATGTTATGGTAATGGGCGATTTGGAGGAAGTATAGCATACATGGATGGTCTCGTTTGTTCTGGTAGTTTGTGCTTACGTAGTTCTGATTGATATTTGATGTGGATGTTCAATGTTTCTCCCTTGGTGTTTATGTTCAGCATCTTAGATTGCCCTATGAGGGCTGGTTTCAATAAAATCATGCCTTCTCCTGGACTTCTCCTTTTGCTTTAGGTTCAGTGTACCACCATATGTTTTAATTCTTCACAGGATATGTTTTCCATGTCCAGACACCGTACAGTAATAGGTTTTCCAGATTTCGGCAGTCCAGGTACTCTGGCTAAATCTTGATCGTTTCGCTTATGATCGAGTGGCCAAATGCGGCAAGAAGCGCCAGGCCTTGGTGCCAAAAGTTGGATCTTCGCCAAGCCTTGGTGAAAAAGATGTTCTGGCGATACGAAGGAGGTTTGAAACTGAACCATATGATTGAAACTGAACATATATCATATATCTGTATATAGATGTGTTTTATGCAGAATCCATAATAATACACATATTCTTGCATATTCTTGCATATATGGATGTGTATCGATATGTTGTAGAACTTCTGTGGCCCACGTTCCTTTCAGGTCAAAGTCACCTTCCCGGAGAGGCTCAACACCTGGATGTTGGCACCGATGGAGGCTCCTGATTTCACCAAATGGCTAGCGACAGTTGGGCTCTGGAAGTTGAGCCACAACTCCACTGCCCTTTTGCCATAGTGATGCCATAGTGGTAGGCACCATGGGCACAACGATTGCGAAGTTGTGTCGAAAGTCGGCGAAGCATTTCGAAGGACAGGTTTTTTTCAGAAATGGGGTTAGGCTCCAGGAAACACTCACAGTCATCTAGGTATAGAGTGTATAGAGTCTTGATTGAACCCATCCTTCCTCTGAAATTGGATGGGTATCACAGGCAGTGGCGCCGGGGTTTTGAGCTTCTCATCAGGAATCCCCATTCCAACATGTTCGGGATCAAAAGGGTGCATTACGCCATCAAGACGTTGGCGACCCAAAAAAACCTAGGTTTCTTTTCGCTGACAATCAGGCTAGAATTCGGATTATATATATATATATACACACACATATATATATATATCATAGGATATATGTTCTCAAAAACACACCAACAATTGGTAGGATTGGTAGGACGGGTCCTATCAAATGGGTAGTTTTTTTTTCAAATCACTAGATATCTCGGGCTCTGAATTTGGAAAAACCAGGAGTTGGATGCGAATCGCAAAGCTCTGGACGCCACAACAGAGGCGATGGAAATGGCCATGGGGCCATGGGGGTTTGGTGGGCAACACCACCACGTCACGTGGGTTGAAGCGGCGCTGGAAGGCAACTCACCAGATGGCGCTGGCCCCAGTCACAGCCTTGACCAGAGGTATCAAGGAGGCTTAATTTGTATTAAACTCTTTCTATATAATCACAATTATATGTTACTATATATATATATATGCATACATATATCTATATAGAATATCTTTACAGTATCCTTATTCAGTCATATTTAATCCATATCCGTGTTTTTGGCTGGGTTCATTGTATTGGGAGGGGTTTTCCTCAAGTTTTGCGATGGGATATCAACCAACTTGAAACCCTGTATACTCAATTTGGCTGTTGAACCCCCGTAATATCATGATAATATTCATTAATATTCCATATCATCAAACGAGAGTATAATCGTCAATCCCATATTTTTGTTGGTCAAAACTCCAGTTGGAACCGTTTTTTTGGTAGATTGATCCACCGTAGTAACCTTAGTCTTCACGATTTTTGGGGATCGAAGAACCATTATGACAATAGATGACCAAACTGAACAAAGCCTTAATGGCGGCCATGATTTTACATGATTTACGACATTTGTTCCAAGACAGAGCAATTGGAGCAAGAGATGCATGCCATTGCTGAGCAGCAGGAGGCCCATTTTTTCAACATTTTTCAACCATGCTTTGGGATGGTGAAATTGGGGGATATAATGGGATATACCCTCTGGTAACTTAACATAGCTATTGAAAATGGTGATTTATAGTGGATTTTCCCATTAAAAATGGTGATTTTCCATAGTTTTTTGTATGTTTACCAGAGGGTAATGGGATATCTCTTCCGGTCATCAAAGGTGGCCATAGGATGCACTAGGAAATCCCCTAGCTGGGTGGATTTTCCAGCCACGTTTGATGACCGGAGGGTCAATGATATGCGAATTAGGATAGCCAGAAACTTTGGTTGGGTACTACAGTATAATTTCAGTTTCTTCGACTTTAAATGAAAAGGTATGGCTATCATTGGAGATGAAATGATGTGAAACTGGCTGACAGAATGGGATATAAATGGATGTAATGGTAGGATATAATCATACGATATAGAATAGTGGGATATCATCTGCGTCCACATGGGCTGTATTCGAAGATTAAAATGGCTGATCAAACGGGAGCAAAAAGCTGTAACCATGGAATATTGGGAATACAATATATAGTGCGGATACAACAGAATGAGCCATCAATCCGTATGGGAAGAGGGATAAACCAGTGATATGTAGCAGACAATACTTGGGTTTGTCTCCGACTATAGCGATGTTTCCGTTTTACTCCCCCATTTTGAAGGATCGATTACGAAAACATTGAATCTATTGACCTGAAAACATAGCACAAAGTGTCCAACCAGATCCAACAACTATCCCAAGACCTATGTGTTGTAGATGATCCCAAAAGAAGATCCTTTCTGACCTCTCCATCTTTGATGCAGAGGGTACATTCCATTTTTTATGGTAAAATCAAGATCTCCATTTTTCTCTTCCGAAGTATAAATCCAACATCTTCCGATCCACAATGAAGGCGTTGCTGGCTCAGTTGTTGGAAAACGAGCGCCAACTGGATCAATTGGGTGAGGAAGAGGAGCCACAACCTCTGGTCATTTGGTATACCATCTGGAAAAGCCACCATTGTACTGTAGATGCCATTGGGTAAAGTTTCAACAAGTGAAATTCCTGACTTAGACTTGTTGTGATTATTAGTATGATAAAGTATTATGTCCTGATTATCCAGGGACTTCCAATGTCGTGAATGTATCACCATGATGTCGTCCACTACTGGGGTGATGGGATCACCATGAAGTCATGGTAGATGTTTTTTTCGGTACATGATGATCAATTGGCAAACATCATAAACATCATCAACTGCTGTTGATTATATATATATATAATTATATATATATATATATTGATTGTAGAGCTTCGCACACCGGCGATGCCATAAGGATTATGTAAAGGAGTGTGAGCGTTGGTGTTGTTCATGTGCTCTGCGCCTGCGCGCAGGTGCAGAGCACAGTGCGATGTTCTTTTCATACCGCAGCTTGTAACCATCTTACCACACATCTTTTCGTCGCATTTGTATGCTTGTTCTTCTTGTTGTTGTTGTTGTTCTGCTTCTTCTTCTTGCAACACCGCTTATTTTCGCATTTTTGTGAATCTATATTATATATACATTATATCTTGAGGGTCGAGTGACAGCGATGACAGTTGTTTGCTTCTATTCGCTGGATCGGAACCAATGCCGCGCAGCTGGCTTAGGATTTATCTCAGGGAACTCCGCTGCTGCCGCTGACGTTGGCGATGGCTGCTGCCGCTGCAAGTGTAACATGCCGTGACCGGGCCCTTCGCAGATCATGCCGCGTGCCGGCATGCAACTGGTTGAATCTGCCAACCCAGTGTAAGGGTTTACAGCCGAGACCTTTTTAAAGATGTCCATGAATACATAAATAAATATAGACATAAATAGTATATATTTACCAGAAACACAACGTTGAATGGACAAGTAGCAACTTGGCGGGCCACAAAACAGTCTCGGTTCCTCTCGGCCTTCCCATTTTCCCACTGGTTGATAGATAGAGGGACAACTCAAAGCCCCTGGAAGGAGAGGAGCGTGAGGCGTTTCTACAACGTGGCGCCAAGTCGGAGACTCAGGACTAGGGAAACGAAAGATTCAATCGACACAACTGTAGGTTTCAGCAACAAACCAAAGCTTTCATAAACAAAACATGGGGTGTTTGATTCCATCAACAAAGTTGGGATGTATACAAAATCGAAGGTGGGGAGCAGGTTACACTCCCTAGTCAGTGGGTTCCTGGTCCTTTTTTTCTAAGGCGCGTCACAGGGCTTCCGCTGCAAAATCCTTACCCAGGACGAGGCGCTGGGCAGGACTGAGGGTTTGCCCGGAATGGATTGGTCAACGTCTCAAGGACATTTCACAGCGCAGGCACAGTGTTTTATCACTTTGCTATGGAAAATCACCACTTTAGTATAATAGGTACTGTAAATAATCGAACCAAACGGACCATCTAAACTATAGCTATGTGAGTGTACATACTCGAGGGTATTATCCCCATGACCCCCCATTATACCAGTAGTACCGCACAAGGCGGTGGCGGAAGTTTCAAAAATAGGAAACCTATAGGAGAGGTTGGTTGTTGTGACTCCGGGATGGCAGAGCGAATCCACTGATGGACCGAAAGGTG